TGTTTTTGAGTGGAGAACCCCAAGCAATCTTCCCAACCAGGGAAGAGACCTAAAGAAGTGAAAGCTGGAAATACCCCAAATTAAAAACTCCATGGGCTCATTTTTGGGTCCTTCTCAAAGTAACATGAAGGCGCCTTGCTATCCGTTGTTAGAGGACGTGTCCTCAGGATGCTGCCTTCTTCTCACACCAGCCCAGCATGAAGGCAACTGAATTCATCTTTGGCTTTTCCACTCAAAAACAGCCCTTTGCCACCTTCTGACTCATAGCAGCTTCCAAAATAAAAACTTCAAAAACACAATAATGTAAACAAATTTTTTTGACAAAATATTTTTGTTCTTTTTATAGGTTGCTCCAATAAGTCATGACTCTGAGTGGAATTGGGCAGCTCTGTACGCCATCTTTTTTCTCCTTCAGTTTGAGTGTTTTTGCATTTTATTATTTGAAGTAAAATAGTTCATGTCACCTAGCCTTTTTTTTAAAGTACACCCTTTCATTTTCTTTGTCCAGTCCAGAAATAGCATAAAAATGGCAGAAATAGAATAAGGGAATAACAGAGTTGGAAGGGACCTTGGAGGTCTTCCAGTCCAACCCTCTGCTCAAGCAGGAGACCTTATATCATTCCAGAAAAGTGGCCATCCAGTCTCTTCTTAAAGGGCTCCAGTGATGGAGCAGCCAGAATTTCTGAAGGGAAGCCATCCCACAGATTAATTCTTCTCCCTGTCAGGAAATTTCTCCTCTGTTCTAGGTCTGGACTCCCGCTTTTTTGTGGCAACCCCTGAGAGATTGGAACGTATCATGTCACCCCCAGTCCTTCTTCTCATTAAAGTAGAAATGCCCAATTCCTGCAACTGCTCTTCATATGTTTTAACCTTCAGGCTCCCAATCATCTTTCTTGCTCTTCTCTGCACTCTTTCCAGAGTCTCAACGTCTTTTCTATATCGTGGCCACCAAAACTGGATGAAGAATTCCAAGTATGATCTTACCAAGGCATTATAAATTGGGATTGCTTGGGAGGGGGAGCAGTTTTGAGGGGGGAACTTTAAATTTCTCTTGCACAAAACTCAGGGTTCCCATTGAATAGCAACCTTGTCACTTGTGAATGGATGCTTGCTATAAACAACAACAAAAACCAAAGGAATATTTTGGTTGAGACAACTATTACATTTGAATATTTCTTGTATTGTGATGACAGTCATCAATCAAAGATTTTCTAACTTTGGAAGTCCAGTGTAAAAATACGTGAAGGACACTTCTGAGCATATGCAGAGTTCTTTGAGAAAAGGCTTTTTCCCTTGGGGTTTATGGTGCGCCTCAGGAATTCATATATCATAAAATAATCTGCAACTTCTTTCTTAGAGCAGCAACCCAGAGTGACCTTTTGACTTTTAAAGCAGGAAAACAAAGTGAGTCTCTGATGGGGAAAAACTCAGACTCGGGAGCCTCTTTTCTGACTCCGGATGCCTCAGTCCAGCCTCTCCCGGCCTTTCCTGAAGGCAGCTGCACTTCATCCATTTTAGTCCGAATCTCCCTTCAGAAAAGGGGCTCCTGATTCTGGTTCTTTCTAGGGATTGGAAACAAAAGGAAATCTGTTTCTGGGACTCAACGTAATTTCTGCTCTTCTGCTGGAGAAAAGAAACAGGGAAGGCCTAAGAGAGGATCTGAGGGAATTTCATCAGGATCGGCCAAGGATTGCGATGGGATTCTGTCCTTTCCATCACCCGAAGTCAGTTCTACGGTCTGGTCCCTGCAGCTTCTCCAGCCTCAAACACTGGAAGGACCAATGGATGAAAGCTCAGCTATGCTCACATCTGGACACAGCTGGGCTCAGATTTCTCTCCCACCACCCTCCAGCCTGCCAGAGAGCCCAGCCTTCCCCTCCCTGCAGCCTCTCACCCTTCAGCTCCAAGTCCAGAGGCTCCTGCAGGCTGTCGTGCTCCACGTGGCACCGATAGCGGCTCCTCTCTTTGGGGTCGATCCGGATGCTGAGCCAGTAGTGGTAGGTCCCATCCGCGTTGGGGGCCGCAGACCCATGGAAGGTCTCTTCCAGCCATTCCTCCCCATCCCTCCTCCAGGAGGCATCGATGTCCCTGGGGTAGAAGCCATCCACACGGCAGATGTGCGTCTCCATCCCATCTTCTACCTCCGTCCGGCTGCTCACCGTCACCTTTGGGGTCTCTGCAGAAACAGAACCCCCAGAATTAACTCTGAGCCCCTCCAGAGCCTGGAAGGTGGATGGGAAACTTGGAGGGGCAGGAAAATCTCCCCCCACTTATTTTTAACCCAAAGATTCACATTCCACACTTGCAGCCTCTCCAAGAGTTTTAGGAAATTATCCAGATCTGGAAAAGGCTCAACCAGAAGAACTCCTGATTTTGAGTCCTTCCCAGGGACTCAGCCCAAAAAACCTCTGGAAGCAAATTGAGGCTCCAAGGAAATTCCTCTCTGGCTGCTTTGAACTCTGAGTGATCTTGGGCTGCTCCCTTCAGGGGAGGGAAAGTGGAGGTGGTCTTTTAAGGTCCCTTTCAAGACAACAACAACACAGAAGATTCTCCCTACTTTTTGCTTCCTCTTCTGCTCTTCTGCTCCCTGAATCTGAGGCTGCTCCCGGCCTCTTTCCAAGCGAACAACGCCAATTTTAAGAAGAAGAGAGATCAAAGGGAATCTCACAGGGATCTATTGGGAAAAGAGGTTTTGTCTCTCAAAGAGGGGGGGGCAGGGAGAGACTGATGCCAATGGGAGAGGGTCCTCCCCAGGCAGGGAGGGGCTGTGGGAAATCATCAGTGTGGGGGGGGGGGGATGGATAGACTATTGGTTTACCTGAAGGGTCCTTTCCTGTGCACCGCTTGGAGAATTTATAGTTCTTGACAAAGGGCGATGGCGAAGACCAAGTGGCCGTCCCGCAGATGTCGTCAATTGAGGCCTGGGTGGCCCAGGCACAGAGGTGGCCGCGCTTCTCGTACAGTGAATGGTAATGTGTCGAGGCACCGCCCTGGACTGGTTCTCGTAGGCAGCGGCGATGCACGCTCTCAGCCATCTGCCTACTGTGGAAGATGAGACCTTTTTGTCCAAGGAGCCAGGCTGGAACGACACGAAGACTTGCAGAGTCTGCAGTGTGACTAATGTAGACTTGCAGGGCCCATCTGACGTCCAACTTGTGCCAGGTGCGCTTCCAAGGGTGAGAGGGACGCTGACAAAAGTTAGGCAGTATGATTTCCTGCGCCCTGTGGAACCAAGTATTAACTTTTGGAATGAATGCTGGATCTAGCCGCAAAACAACCCTGTCAGGGTGAATAATATACAGATACTGTCAGATGGACAGGGCTGCCAGCTCTGAAATGCATCTCACAGACATTATAGCAATGAGAAAGGTCATTTTCAAGGTAAGATAGCAAAGAGAGGAGGTACGAATAGGTTCAAAGGATGGTGAAGTGAGAGCCTGTAAGACCACTGACAGCTGTCAGGTGGGATAACGGTGGACCATTGGAGGACGTAAGTTGGAAGCGAACCCTGGGAATCCTGTTGAGGGGCAGATTGGGATCGCCGGACCAAATGGTGGACATTTGCCACCTGATGACGGAGAGTATTCGGGGCGAGGCCCTTTTTGAGTCCTCCTTGGAGAAAGTCTAAGACGCGGGACACAGGAGCAATGACAGGGTCAAGCTGCAAGTTGTCACACCACTTGGCAAAGGTAGCCCAGGAAGTCATAGATTCTGGTCGTCGAAGGGCGTCTAGAAGCCTGAATGGTACATACCACCTCCTCCTAGGCCCTCACTCCTCAGGAGGTCCCCTTCAAGTGCCAGACAGCCAGCTGGAGCCACTGGGGTTTTGGATGGACGATGGCCCCCGGCTGAGGAAGACCTGATCCGGAGGGATCCTCCATGGAGGGGACACCGACAGGCTGACAAGGTCGGCGAACCACAACATCTGGGGCCAATGAGGAGCCACGAGGACCACCTCTGCCCTCTCTGCGATGACATTGCTGATTACTTCTGGAAGAAGCGGGAGAGGAGGGAAGGCGTATAGCAGGCCCTGGGGCCAGCTGCACTGGAGAGCATCCGTCCCCTCCGATCCCAGTGAGTGGAAGTGGGAGAAGAACCGCTGGAGTTGTGTGTTATCCCTGGTGGCAAAGAGGTTGACTACTAGGGTGCCAAACCTGAGAGACAGCTGGCAGAACAGAGCCGGGTCCAATTGCCACTCTGCAGAGTCTATGGTGGTCCTGCTCAGCCAGTCCGCCTGGGTGTTGTCCACTCCTGAAATGTGGTCGGAACGGATGGATGCTAGATGATGTTCCGCCCAGTGGCCCAGGGCTTCCGCCTTTGCCATAAGCTTTTTGGACCTGGTGCCGCCCTGGCGGTTTATGTGATCCTTGGTGGCCACATTGTCCGTCATAAGGAGCATGTGGTGATGTCGGATGGATTGGTGGAAATGTGTAGAGCTAGTCTTGCAACCTGCAGTTCCAGGAAGTTGATGTTGCAGGCTGCTTCTGATGAGGACCACTTGCCTTGAGTCAAAAGATGTCCTATGTGTGCCCCCGGTGAGGCTGGCGTCTGTTGTGATGACCAACCTGGTGGGCTCTTTGAACAGATGTCCCTTAACTTCCACCACCGGAGGGACCTCTTCACCAATGGAGGGACGCATACCATCATGGATGAGTTGCTCCTGTTGGCTGTCTGGTGGGGCAGGAGAAGCCATTGCAGTGCTCTGGAATGGAGCCGGGCCCAGGGGACGATCAAGATGCAAGAGATCATCTTCCCCAACATCTATGGTAGGAGGATCACCGGAAGCTGCTTTGTTTTTAACACCTTGTGGGTCATGGACATTAGGCCGTCTAATCTGTCTTGGGAGAGGAACACCCTGCACAACCAGGTGTCTATCACCGCCCCCAGGTGAGTTAGCTTGGTGGTTGAGGTGAGATGACTTTTCTCCAAGGTTAGGGAGAACCCGTGACCCGAGAGCCTTCATGGTGATGCGGAGATCACGCAAGGCTTGCTGCCTGGACGATGACTGGATGAGGATGTCGTCCAGGTAGCATTGAAGCCATTTGGGCCTGCGCCTGAGCTGAGCCGCAACTACTGCTAGGACCTTTGTGAAGGTCCTGGGCGCTGACAACAGGCCAAATGGAAGGGCCCTATATTGATAGAGTCAGCCGGCATAAAAGAACCGCATAAACCTTCTGTGTTGAAGGCGGATGGGGATTTGGAGGTATGCCTCCTTTAGGTCAATGGATGTGAGGAGGTCTCCCTGGCGGATCCTCGCCAGGATGGTTTGGAGGGACTGCATGTTGAACCTCCGGTAGGTGATGTGCCCGTTGAGGTTCTTGAGATCCAAGATGGCCCTCCACCCCCCTGAGTTTTTGGGTACCAGGAAAAGAATAGAGTAAAACTCCTTTCCTTCCTGGTCGGTGGGGGGGACACCTGCTGTATCGCATTTATATCCAGGAGATGGAGAACTTCCTGGTTCATGAGCTCCCTCTTGAAGGGGCAGGAGGGAGTGGGGCAGCAGATGAAGTTCCGAGGTGGGGGGGATAGGAACTCCAGAGAGAGTCCCTCCCTGACAGTCTGGAGGACCCAGGCGTCCTCCGTGGTCAGGGCCCAATGGAGGACGAACAGCTGGAGCTGACCGCCTATGGGCGAGGAGCTTTGGTGGTCACTTGGACATGCAGAAGGGCCTATTGGAGGCTCTGCCACGGTTGTACTTACGGTACCCGAACTGCTGCCTGCCCCTGCCCCGAAAGAACGGTCTGTCCTGGGACCTATCTCCAGATTGGCCGGTTGGTCTGTTGTGGGGAGAGAAGGAGGAAGCAGTTGCTTCTGAGGAACGAAAGGGCTGCCTTTTGGAGTAAGGAATGCTTCTTAGTCAAGGAAGGCATCACCTTCCGCTTGTCCTTAGACTCAGTAAGGAAGGGATCCAGAACCTCCCCGAACAATTTGGACCCCTTGAACAGGGCAGAAGCCAATTTCCACTTATTCTTCTGGTCCACCTGCCAATGGCGGAGCCAGATCAGGCGGCAGGAGGTTACGTTAGATGCCAATGCCCTGGAGGCGAATTTTGTTGCATTAAGGGAGGCATCAGCCGCATATTGGGATGCTGCAATAATCTTGCTTATGTCCTGGTGGAGACGGACGTCTCCCACAGGGAGTTTAGGTTGCAGTTTACACAGCCAGATGATGGAGGCTCTGTTGAAGAAGGACGTGGAGGACGCCTTGATGGCCCAAGCAGCCACCTGGTGGCTCTTGTGGCAACCCTTTTCCACCTTTTTGTCCTCCGCTTTTAGGCCCTCCAGTAAATCTGCGGGCAGGGTTGAATTAGAGGTGAGGGCCGCTATGTGGGGGGGGGGGTGGTCCACAGTCGGCAGGACCAGGATGTCCTCCAGGGCGGGTTCAACTGAGTACAGCTTCTTATGCTCGCCGCTGGGAGAAGCCAGTGTAGCCGGTTGGGCCCACTGCCGCTGAATGACATCTAAGAACAACCCAGGGACTGGGACCAGCTCCTGCTAGGGAGCCTGAACATCAAACATGCTCGCATTTGGGTTGGCCGGGGCTGAATCAGAAAATCCCTGCGCAGCTTTAGGTTTAATCGCCACCCGGGCCATGTTCTTTGCTTTGTGCAATATAGACTTGAAGAGACTGGGTTTAAAGAGTCCCGAAAAGGCAGGAGCATCAGGCGGGGAGGTCCTCGTCTTCTGAGAGCTCCTGCTCCTCCTGGTCTGGGTCCTCCAGGGCGGAGGCCTCGCTAACTACCGAGGATTCCATGGAGGGGTGATGGATGCTCTTAGCGGGGGGGGGGGGGCTTGGCTGGGCTGGGAGGTACTGGGGCAGCGGGAGGCTGGGCACGTTTTTGCATGCCCTCCNAAGGCCCCCAAAGGAATATTTCCCTCAGCAACAGTAGCAAGTGGCCCAGTCTGATCTGGAGACCCAAAGGGTTATTGACCTCTGAAATGAAGTTTGAAGGCCCTGGAGAAGATATTTCAACTTCAAGTGAAGAGATTCTTGGATTCAAAAGAAAACCGAAAGGAAATCCTGAATTGTTTCTACTCCTGTGTGGGCTTGAGAGGGAGGAAGGACGCCAGGAACTCTCTTCCACCCGGCTAGCAATGGCTTGGTGGAGCGCATGGTGCGCTCCTTCAAAGAAGCCCCGCGAGTTGGCAGGAACGCATCAATGCTTTCTTGTTGGCCCATCACACTAGACCTTGCCCAACCACCAACGTTAGCCTTGCTGAGCTGTTGATGGGCCGATGTCTGAGGACCGCCTTCGATAGGCTGCACCCTAATTACTCCACCGCTAAGCCCTTAGACTCTACTGTGGGGGGGGGCGATCTTTCACCAGGGGAGAAGCAGTATACGTTAGGAACTACGTAGGCCATCCCTTGTGGCTGCCGGGTGTTGTGACTGACCAGACCGGGCCCTGTTCTTACAGGGTGAAGCTGAACGATGGCCGAGAGTGGCGGCGCCACTATGACCAGATGCGAGCCAAATGAGGAAAACCAATGGAACAGCCTGTCCAGTCCCAAATGGAGGATGGCGCCGCGGCCAGAAACGCAGCCCCCGCGGATGCACTTGCAGCCGGCCCAGAAGTACAAAACGACGACTTATCGGGGGAGCTGCTCCGTCCCTTGTTGCCTCTGTATCCCGCGCCGCCGGCATCCAGCGAGTCCGTGTCCTCCGGAAGTCGACCGTCCACTCCAGACGTTGACAGAGAGCCATGCTGTTCGGGCCAGGTTCGGCGGCACCCAGCCTACTTGTAAGACTAAGTGTCAGCCTCTGCTTTGCTGCTGCTTCGGCTGCCATGAAACGGGGAGGGAGGGCATGGTATTTGGGAGGGGTTACTAATTGTGCTGGAGGAAGATTCTGGAACTCTGCTGCCTGCCGGACTACGCATGCGTAG